CTTGAGGAAAGCCAATGTTTTTACATTTTTTTTATATATGCCTCTTGGTTTAGCTCAAGAAATGTAAGAATTAATGTTATTTATAAATTAATTTAGTTTTCACTTCACTCAATTCTCTGTGTGTGGTGCTTTTGGAGACTTATGGGCTAACTAGCTTACAGAACAAACTGCTTCTCAGAAGGAAAAGTTCAAATGCCAATCATCAAAAAAACTTGAAATAAATGTATCTATTTATATATGTTAAAGACAGTGTGTTAGCTTTAGAGATCAAAAATGCATTTTTCTGTGAAAACATTTTCTGCGTGATTTTGGACAGTGAGCAGGATAAAACAAAGGAATGTAGAAGATTTTGGACAGTGAGCAGGATAAAACAAAGGAAATGCAGAAGATAAATGGATCAATAATCAATATCCACTAAAAAGCTCCTTAAACGGCCTCTAAGATTACCAGGGGCTCTAAAACTAAACACATCTGAAAATAAATCATGAGCCTGAAAAAACAGCTATCCTTATTTGCACCAATCAATGTAGGAAAGAAAAAATATGATTTTCCAATGTCAAAGAGTTGAAAAGAAACTGCCATTTGCCTCAATTTCATCAAACCGCCCAGGTGATCTCTTCTGCATGTAACCGTAAAGCCTGGCGTGCAAGAATTAGCACACAGTCCTTAAACCCTCCCACAAAAATGCAGTGTGTGTAGTCACTGTTGTCTCAGGGCCTCATCCATACGCCATTAATCCCACCCATTTCTAAACAAGCACCTGAATGTACATAGTGCTTAATTAAAGTTGTACCTTCATCACTGAAGCAAATCCCAGTTATAAGGGATGAGAAAGCAATTAAGTCTCTCTACACCTTGGTGCTCATGTCTGTTTAAGGTTATAAACAACAACCCTGCCAGCTCATGAAGTGCTTACTTTAAATTACAACCTCATGCTTTACAAAAAGTTAGATAAAAGAATTTCTTAAATTACGTGACAAGACACATAGCCACTAAGGTGTTCTTCATTAAGCTAAAAAAGTCATACATTTGATGCAGACAACAACATAATAGGTGACGGTGACTTGGACAGTACATCCATCAACCTGAAGCTGATGTCATAAGGTTCACTCTGTTCTGAGGGGACGAATTACCTGGCCTGTTTGTCACAAAGGACTCACTACGGCTAATAGCAACACAAATAATAATAATGTACTCTTGTTCACTGATCACAATACAATTCAAATAATAGTTCCACAAAATAAATAAAGAACTGTTTAATTGTTTTATGTGTTAGTCTGTTGTAACATAAGGTTGAATGTTACACTAATCACTTTGCTCCCATATACAAAAAGTAACCCCCTTTGCTTTTCCCTCCCTCCTCTTCCACAGTTAGCTTGACGTTTACAAACTGACATAAATTTAGTGCAGGTCAAGTTGGTATTCAAGCTATGCCGGTATGCTAATCTGACTGCGCATCACCCTGTAGTGCTTTCAGGGCAGGGGCGCAGATAGGATTTTCAAACTGGGGGGACAAAGTTCCAATGTACCCTCCCCCAAACACACAGATCCCCCCCCCCCACCCACCCACCCTATCTGCGCGCCTGTTTCAGGGGACTTGGCTGTGTTCTTGTTGGCAGCTTCTTGTGGATACGCAACTCTATTGGTCATTGCTTTAGGTTGACAAAAAAAATTGGTTTTGCTGTAGAGGACATCTTATTAATCTTAAGATTGCCTACTTTATGTCATAATACAGGGTCAGGTATTCAAATGTTGGCATTTTTTAATATATTTAAATTTTTAACTACGTATCCCAGCTTTAAGAAAACTGAACATCACCATAACTTCAAAGAATCAATTCCAAAAACAGGCACAATTTCTTTGCAGTGTTAAGTCAGAAATTCTCTACTAGATGTGTTGACACACTGTTGAAGGTAACCTCAGCAGAATGAAACTGACAATGAAGTGACAAAATTCAATAATCCAAAAAGAGTTCTGTCAGTCTGTTTCATTCAATATTTACTCATAAGAAACTTCTCATTATTAACCTTTCAGTTTGAATCTTTCTTTGAAACTTAAAGCAGCCACGGAAAATCTTCAAAGGATAAACCATAATCCTTCTCAATGGTCAACTTTCCTGGTGGGGTCACCCATGAGGACAGTGGGAGGGTTAACATCAAAATATACATGACAGTAAATTACTTCAGTGTTTGCTTTTAAAGACCAAGTTTCCTTCATATTTTTAATACATTTGCAGTGACCTCTTGTAGGAACGAATGCTTTGTAAGTTGTCTTCTTGGGAATGAAAGCTCAGGTACGCCTGTTTCAGGTCATAGAAGTCAGCCAGTGGTGATAGTGGCAATACAGCTGGTTTTATGGTCTTTTTTTAATTCGCCTCTGATTGGCTGACTCTGCCACTGACTGTTTACTCTGCAACCTTGATGTTTTATCTCCACAAATAATGCAAGCCTGAATGAGTTCTGCTGTGTGGTGGAGTTGCTAATGCTAATGGTTAGCTTCTACTTGTCGAGACGTTCTCTGCTGTTTCATGGACATTAAAACAACATCTGTCCCAGTCGCAAGCCAATATGGGTGAGTTCATGAATGTTAAGTGACAGTGTGACATGTGTCGATCTGTCAGGCTTCGATCATTTTCAAAAAGTTAAACATTGTTTCTCAATGAACCTGCCCTTTAAAAATGTCACACTTGTGCTCCAGCTCCAGAAATTAGAATTTTAAAAATGGAACCCTGAGCAAAATCAAAACATGACAAAAAATGTTTCTTCCTTCCTAAAATCAGTCATAATAAAGAAATATCACATGTTCATTTAGTACAATTAAAATTAAGGGAAAGACTTTGGAAACTTTGCAGAGTGAAGTTAATGTTGAGTTTATAATTTTTTTTTTCAATTGGATGATTGAATTTCCTGGCAGAAGATTCACTAAAGTGATAACTCTTTGTTTTTGAAGCCCTTTAAACATTTAAAATACTCTAGATGAACTGTTTCATCTTAATTATCTTTTCCCTCCCATTTTATTACTTTCTCATTGCAACTTTTTTCTTACTTCCCACTGAACTTGACAAACTAATAGGTTATGAATAATTCTGTTTAGTTTAGATTACAATTAGCCACAATGCCGGCAGCCATTCTTCTTTCTTTTTGAGGTGATTTAAGACCCAGCTGAGTCAAGAGCTCCAAGTAGCCCAAGAACACATCATTCACATCTCCCCACCCACACCTGAAACAGGGCTGTACCTTAACATTTTTAGCTTATAGCACGGGTGCTATGAAGGTTGTTAAAGAGTAAGTCACCCCCCACCAGTGTCTTACTTCACTCCCAATTCCTGTTTAAAAAATGCAACAAATGCTGTTGCCTGGCAGACCGAGAAGGCAAAGTCGCTGACAAATACACACACACACACACACACACACACACACACACACACACACACACACACACACACACACACACACACACACACACACACACACACACACACAGGCTCACAACAACATTGTAACATCATGTGGTACCAGCTAACATCATAGTGTAGCTCTTAGCCAATAGCAATGCCAGATTTAAATTCAAATGCAGTGCAGAGTTTTTACCTGAAGACAGTGCAACACTGATAGTTTTTGGCAGAATCTTTAAATTTTGGCTAAGATATACTAAAGTGCAAAATTATTGACTACACGTGTCTACAGCACGAATAGACTCTCAATTATATAAATTATCAGCAAAAAAAAAGTTGATTTGGGGGTGACTTGCTCTTTAATTAGCCATTAGACCACATAGAGATCAGCATTTTTTTCTGCAGCAGAAATTGATGTGTCACGCAAACCAAGCAGCTGCCACTAGGGAGACATAAATACACAAGCTACGGCTGCTATGAGTAATAAAACCAAAACTTGCTATTGATTTATTGAAATTTCCCAATAAATGAGTAACGGCAATAGGACGAGTAACACAGACACAAAATGAAAGTATATGATGTCAAATAAAGCAGATTCAGTGGATAGCTAAAAGAAAATCTGACATTTTCTAACGCAAACTGAAGCTAAACTCTTAAGAATTGTTTTCACAAATTAACATTAATTTATATATTTTTAAATTTTAATTTTGTGCAATGTCTTCAACATCATTTAGATATTTAAGTTGGCTCGATATATTAGGATATATTAGGATTGAGCATCACCTCAACCCTGCCACATGGACCTCAAGGGATAAACCATCAATCCTGCTCAATGGTCAAATTTCCTCGCGGGGTCACCCATAAAGAGTGGGAGGGTTAACTAGGATATATCTCATAGATATCCTTGGTCTAATCATGTTTTCACAATATTTTCTTTAAGAAATAATACATTTTTATTAATTTTTTAAAACAATTTCCAGTGCAAACTTACAACAGTTTAACAAACCTTATTTCAGATATAAAGACCAGGGGGACTTTAATGTGCTCACTAAGTGAAGAAGTTACATTCAGTTCAAAAGTGATTTAATGACGGAGCCTTATGTTTGTAATCTAAAAAAAAAAGCAATGATCACACTCTGCACAGTTGTGCGCTAGGTTCCTGCCTCTCACCAGTGAAGTGGGGTGATACAAAGGGTTACTGAAGTAGCAATGTTTTTGTGTTTTATGCAATTTAGATGTTCTGGAGTGTTAATTTAATTTCCTGTTTTATTGTTCGGTATATAATAATCTATGATTGTCTGTTTGAAACGATTCAAATTAAAACTCCTGATTTGTTTTGGTTATCTGATGGTGAAATGTTCATTTGGGTTTCTGATATAGAAAATTTGAAATTAGCAAAATTCATAGAGAGAGCATGGAAACATAGACAAATGGTACTTTATCCTGTTATGTAAAATAATGTTTTTTTAAATGTATAGTGTCTTATGAGCCTATATGGGCTTGGCAAGTGTTGTGCATGACACTTAAATAAAATTCATTCATTCATTCATTCATTCATTCATTCATTCACAAGAAAAATAATAAACAAATTAGTGATGGTACTCACACATTACTGTAAGAAAAACATTCCCTGAAGCTAGGACAACTTTCTCCCTTGTTGCCCGGTCGTAGATGCCCACATGGCATTCGTAAGGCCCGTTGTCGGAGATTCGTACCTCTGGGAGCCTGAAAAAGAAAGAATAATACTGAAAAACACTGTTGAACAGATGAAGAATCAGAAATCGGAAATAAAATCTGACTACCTAATACAACTATACAAATTCCCAGTCAAATGTCTGAACACAGAATGTGGAAGGATCCAACTTTTCATTCCAATTTAGCTGAACATCGTCAGAAAGAAACGATTAGGTTTGCTATCAGTCTAATGTGTCATTATTTAGTACTATAATCAAAACAACCTGTCTCAATTGTTACATCTAACATGGGTGTAACTGCTGCTAAATAGAAGGTGCCAGATGTAGGGTTGTCACGGTGTGAAAATTTAACCTCACGGTTATTGTGACCAAAATTATCACGGTTTTCGATATTATCGCGGTATTTTTTTTAAATTGTTAAATTTTCAGGAAACTAAATAAACCCTGTATATCAGGAAAATCTTGTCCTCAGTTTGTGTCTAAATTTTGCCTACAATTTGTTATTTTGTAATTGTTGTTTATTTGTTTACATATTTCCCCTTTAGTGTTTAAAATACCAATATTTGCCCATAACATCTTATTTTTTTGTCTGTTTGATGTCATCATTTAAAAAATATTAAATCAGATGATAATCAGTACTCAAGTAGCCTTCTAATCAGATACTTTTTTACCCTCACTTGAGCAATAAACCCGTAATAAACCCTATATCAGGAAAATATTGTCCTCGGCTTGTGTCCTTCCAGTGAGCTTTGCAGATGTGGGAAAATGTCATCTGGCAGTAATCATTGTTAAATTCATAATTCTCAGAGAGAATCTTATCTTCCCCCTGGGAGCCCCGTAATGCATAGCGTCATTTCAACCTGGGGGTGTCTGCGACACGATTTATATACAGGTAGCGGGAACTGTGGCTGCTTTAAATAGCGACTCGTTGCATTCTCCCTCAACCTAAATCCTCGGATCACGCATTTTAGCTAAAACGCTAACTTGCCTTGCATTGACTGTAGAGTGATGGTCAAGCAGATGTGTCATGAGATTTGAAGCGTTGCTGCCTTTCACAGACACTTTTTCCTGCACGTGCTGAAAACAGGATAGCCGTTGTCTATCAACTGTCCCTCGGCATTCTTCAAATATCCAAAGAATGCCCGTACTTCCCACTTTGTTTTCTTTGAGAGATAATAAATGTCCTGCGCGCTGCCATCTCCTCCTTTGGCCATTATTTCAGCTTTAGCTTCAAGAAAGTTGTGGTTGTAAACATCAAAGTGCGCATGTGCCGCCGGCAACTTCAGCAGATGATACGGTGGCTGGTAAGGGTCACCGCGCCTACACCGCAGCCACGGTAATCCACCGAGATGATATAGTTTTTTAAAAAACAAGACTGTTATAATTATTGTCAACTTTTTTACCAGGGTTTATCGCTACACCGGTTACCGTGACAACCCTAGCCAGGTGTTGTGTGACTGTTTATACTTTTGTAAGTTTCTTTGTGATGGAAGAAAGGGTTTCCCCCCGAAAACTTGACAAGCCCTGAGAACGGGGAAGGGGATTGTTCCTCTACCCTTCCTCGTCCGTGAGAGCTCGGGGAGAAGGAAGTGGGGCAGGGGTGTTTTAGCACGGATCATTCTGCTAACAGTCCTCGTCCGGGGAGGGGGTTGCACACAGATCACTCCACTACCGTCTCTCGTTAGTGACAGTGCAGGAGGGGTGCGCGATTTGTTTCGCTGCAGTGAGTCGTGCGTGACAGTGGAGAAGGTAGGGCTAGGGGAGGACCCTTAACCTGGCAGGTGACCAAGAAAAGCCAGGCTTATAAAATGCACGGGGAAATCCTGGAAGAAAAAGTATCTGTCAGAGCGATTTCAAATCCAAATTATTCGTAATTTACTGAAAACAAATCTGCGAGAGAATGTTATCTTTTACACAAAAAGCTTGCTGCACCAGAAGCCTTTTTGTCATGTTTTTGACTTTTGTTTCATTTATGTTTTGTGTTACATTGGATGAGATATGAATAAATTCTGGGATGTTGTGATTATCATTTTCACAGACGTCTTGAATACAAATCATGAATCAGGAAAATGAGGAGGAACCTAATGGCAAAAAAAAATGAGGGAGCATTGAGATGCCATGGTTGACTTAACCTTCTGACCTGCTAACAAACAAGCTAGCCATGTTTATTTAATGGAAAACAAATTTAACGTTTACATTTTACTCTTTATTCACATTTTTACGCACAATTGTTTTGCAAAGTCAGAATTGCCATCATATATGATCTGTGAAAGTAGATGATTATTGAATAAAGTGAAAAAAGTCTGTTTTGAGAGTCTGACTTTTAATGCCTAATCAAAGTTAGACACCAATAATCACTTTAGCTTGTTTAGTTGTGTTCCTCCCCACAAACTTGTTTATATGTGTGTTTGTATGTGCATGCCTGGGTGTGTGTTGTTTGGCAGATCAATCCAATTTTTTGTTTCACCCGAAACATCCATCAAGCCAGCCATGTTGGACTCCTTCAGCCTGATGGCTTTTTTCAGCTTAGATGTCCAACGTGTTTTTTAATAGTTATCATCAGAACAAGCACTAACACACTACGCCAGCTATGGCAATGTTTCTCAATTAGCAGGGATGACATTATGTGTCAGCATCGCTCAGACTAATCAACAAGCTGCTTGTTTAAAGTTAGAATATGAAACATTTTAATATAAAGCTAAAAACAAATAATAATAATACATCCACGGGGCATTCAGAGATGTGCAGAATGAATGTACATTTTCTTCTTTTAAAGCTATGTTTAAAAAGATAATCCAAATTTTATTCTGTTGGGTACAACATTATTTATGTCTACATCTACCAGCCACTAAAGGGCTCTGTAGCCCTAAAAAATCTGCTCAGCAAGGCAAGGTTGGAACTGTGTAAAATGGCACACTTGACCAGTCAATCAGTTGATACTGAGCCCAGAAGATATTCTAACGGTAAATACTGTTGTAAAATAAACTTAGTAGAAACTAGTCCTTATCCTGTATGATTTGCCTCATGGTGCTGGTATGTGTCAGCATTGAACCATTATCCCAATGGCTTCTTGTTGCAATACCACCTCTGAACAACAGAGTTCACCAGATTGTCCGTGTTCCATTGTTCACCTTTAACCCAGCAGAAGAAACAGCATATAAACACAAGGGAGCACAAAGATGAGAGAGGAAACCATTAGCCTAAGCTAATTAACCACACAGCAGAACTTCTTCCAGACTTGTTTTAGTTGTGTAAATAAAACATCCAGGTTGCAAGTCAGTGGTAGTCAGATTGCTGTTATCCAGTGCAACCCTAGTGCTAACCCTAAGTGGCCAATGTTCCTGCTGGACCTGACTGTAGCCTTTGACACTGTTGACCATCACCTGCTACTGGAGAGGCTCAGAGACTGGGTAGGCCTATCAGGATCTGCTCTGGAGTGGTTCTCCTCTTATCTGCTGACGGCCTACAACTGGCTGAACAACTTAAGCCGGGCGTACACTGTGCGACTTTTTCACTTTTTTGAGCCGATTTTCCAGTCGTGCGAGAGTCCACGACATCGGGGCGAGTTTTGCGCCGAGCGGTCGTGTAGTGTACAGGGGGTTACGAGAGGCGATTAACACCACGTGACCAGCTGCCGATCAGCAGTCGTGAGGTCGCACGGACTTCTGGTGTGTTTAATATTTCGCTCGTCCCTCGTGAGGGTATCGCACTGTTGAAGCAGCGCTGCGAGCAGCTGCGAGCAGCTACCATCCAAAAAGTATCAGAACCGCTCACGGCGCACGCGCGCGCTCTCCTGCATCAACGCCGGTCGCTCGCTATTTCCCTAATGACACACGCTGTTCGTTTTTGTTTCTACACGTTTTTTTTTTTACTCACAAAGATTGTCAAGAAAGCGTGTTTGTCGTGTTCATGTCAAATTAAACTGATCACTAAACACAGATTTACTCTCTTTATTTCGTTTTCCTCGTCCAACCCCCATAAATCCCTGTGTGTCCTCCTGCAGCACTCCCGAAGGACAACAGGCAAGACAAGACAAAAAAGTCTGACGTGTTGAGTAAAAACTGCTATTGTTAGCACATTTTTAGGGCCGACGTGTTGCTACCAGACGTACAGTGTGAGCAGTCAGGTCGCATGCGAGAACTGGGTCATACAGTGTGAGCACACGACTCGTGAGATCTGCTCTGTGAGGAAGTCGTACAGTTTGAGCTGAAGCTGAACGCTGCGAGTGAAAAAGTCGCACAGTGTACGCCCGGCTTTAACTCCTTTAATGCAAGGTTTGAAATGCAACACCCATCCCCCACACCCCCTACTGCACAGGCTTCTTCAGCCACTATGCCTCCCCCACCATCTTCACCACTGTGAATAGTTCAGTCCCCTCTGACCACCCCTCCCCCTCCATTACCATCTCAGTGACAGAAGAGGAAGTGCTTAGAGTTTTCCGTAAGCAAAATCCTCGGAAATCCCCGGGCCCGGACGGTGTCTCCCCCGCAACCCTGAGACACTGTGCAGAGGTACTGTCTCCAATCTTCACGGACATCTTTACCATCTCCTTGGAGTCCTGCCATGTTCCAGCCTGCTTTAAGCTGTCCACCATTGTTCCTGTGCCTAAGAAACCCCATGTCACTGAACTGAATGATTATAGGCCTGTGGCGCTGACGTCTGTAGTCATGAAGTCTTTTGAGCGCCTGGTCCTCCCTCATCCTAAGTCCTTCACCTCCCCCCACCTGGACCCTCTGCAGTTCTCATACAGAGCCAATAGGTCTGTAGACGACGCCATCAACCTGGCCCTCCACTTCATGCTGCAGCACCTGGACTCCCCGGGCACCTACGCTAGGATCCTGTTTGTGGACTTCAGCTCTGCGTTCAACACCATCCTCCCTGCTCTGCTCCAGGACAAGCTCTCCATGCTCAACGTACCCAACTCCACCTGCAGGTGGATCACTGACTTCCTGACGGTCCGAAGGCAGTGCGTGCGGCTGGGGAAGAATGTTTCCACCATTCAGACAATTAGCACAGGATCTCCACAGGGCT